CCCTACAACCACTCCTTCTCTTTTAAAATGTGTTCACTGTCCAGGTAAAAGCAACTCCAGGTATTAAAACAACAGGAAAAGAGTATATGAAAAATCCAAAACTATTTTACAACTTTCCAAGCTACCCTCTGTGAAAATAGAATTGCCAGCATCATGTTCCTTCAGTTCAAAATAGTGAAGACACCAGATTTTGAATGCAGTGGTCCCGTTTGAAGATCTGTTCTTCAACGTCGTATCTCTGCACCACTCCAAAGTCAGCCCACAGTCCTGTAATATTTCTTTTCCGAAAAGTCTGCAAGCTTCTCAGAGAGCATAGACCAGCACATACTAGTGTTCAAAAGGACTATATACACAGCTACTGATTAAAGTGGCACAAGAACCATTCATCCCCTGGATTTGCGTTGTTAACAGCTGTGCCTACTATGTATTTTATGGAGAAACAGCGTCACATCTCCCTGAAAAAGGCATCAGTGTGACTTCTGTGACATTCACCATTCCAGAACTGGGAGGTTGTTAGCTTGTTCGGTTTTTAGCTGATTAGCTGTGCAGCTGCACAGACTTCAAAAGGGGTTCAGCACCCACAAGTTTGGGAATTGGGGTGTGCTGAATACAGAGGCAAAGCGCAGAACCCATATCAGTCCCCTAAACTACTACCAGCCAGAACCCCAGGGTTAGAATTTGTCTCGCTATTTATTTTCACAAAAAAGGGGAATTAAGAAGCAATCAGTAATTATTTTCCTAGTCAGAGTGGAAACTACTACACATTTCGGTATTGTCGCCTAATACACCATTACCTTGCACACACTGACAAACTGCTGATCATTTCCAGCTCCCACCACGATGTAGCCATCCTTGGTCTTAAAAGCCTGGAAGAAGAAAGAAAGGTGATAAGCTGTAACTAAACTATAAAATACTAGCACATCTCTTAAGTGAAAACTTTGTTAACAATGTTCAAATGCCTGCCTTAAACATTTCCATTCAGGTCCCACCACTAGTTCTATAAAAGTGCCTCAAAGTCATCCACAAGGATGGAGGCAGCCCTTTTGGTTTTTCTAGAGTTCTTCTAGAGTTTTTCTAGAGTGGAGAAGTTATCTTGGTTAATAGGTTACTTGCTGAAAACGTATCTTGAGGCATCCTGGAACTTTGCAAATGTGTCCCACACTCACAGGGACTGAGAAGGATTTACCAGGATAACACTTACTTGCCAGGGGTTATTTATTCAGCTTCACTTTTAGCCTGTCTGAGAGCAGACAGCTGCACTGAGGTGTCACAGAGCCTGACCAAATATGCAAAATAAAATCATTGCCAAATAGCAATGACAGATTAGGAACCCTCATGGGGATGAAACGGATAGGCTGCATCTTTCCAGCTCTTCAGCTATCTCCTTGGTCAGTGGTCTCAAGATCAAGCTCCTAGAGAAAATGGGACTTCTTTTCTAGTTTTGAGGATTTTATTTTTTTTTTACTTCATTACAGTGGCCTTACTGGCACATTTCATGTTGAACAAAACATTTAACTGGATAAGATACAACATCTCTCATTTCAGTCTAAATCATCTCCACTTAGATTTTCACTGGAAAAAAGAAAACCTGTAATTGGCATCATCCTCCATTTTTACCATTGCGTCAGGGCTTCTAAAATTGGATAATGCAAACAGATTCCCCTTTCCTCCACTCCTCTCCCTTAAACAAGGGTGTGTAACTGCAGTTTCAGTCACATGTGTTACAGCCACAATTTTCATAAGCATTTGGGAAAAATTCTTTCACTATTAATTTGGCTTAAGTGCAAGAGGGCAGCACAGGCTGGTGCACTAAAGGTGATGAGGCCTTGCGATGCTTTCTTGCAGAGAGCAAAACTCATCTTCCATTTTTAGAAATCAAATTTTTATGAGCTATCATGTCCTGATCTAAAGGTGTAAATTCTCACTATAAATTCTGGTGAATTAACACACAAATATAAGCCCCGGAGTGGGAATACTTTAATAATAAAAAGTCTTCTCGTGACACCCTGGCTTATTCCTCTTCACAAACAGGAATATGCTATTCCAACTTGCAGTCTTTCATACAGATACAATTACATCCTCACTAAGACTCTTTCACCATCTGGTATAGTCAAAGCTTTAAAATTCTATGTGGAAAATTATGGCCACTGAAATGCAAGTAACTGTACATCATAGTTAGGATATCACTTGTTTGCTCTCGCTATGTTTCATTTCCTGGTAAATAGTATTGGTCAGTGATAAAGTTTAGCAATTTATTTTTCTCACATTTAATTAAGTCCTTCAGTATAAGAGTCATAGAGCAAGCAAGATGAAATTCAGCAAACATTTAGTCCCAAGCATGCAAAAAAAGTCCCACTGATTTAGCCCCAATACAGTAAAAGTCTAGAAGCATGCATAATATAAAGGTACCACATACTCACGCTGAGGAAAGCAATGAGCACAGAAAAAAATGGGGAAAGAATACAGATAAGAAAGCTGTATGTGAATGCATAAACATTTTTCAGATATAGCTGTTCATGCAAATTTCTGTCTAAAACAATCATGACAGACCCTAGTCTAAGAATACGTAAGACGCTCCCCCTCGCCCAGGGTCTTTTAGTAGGAAGAGTTATGAACTGAAACTGTTTGTATGAACTTACTACCTTTAGTTACAGGGAAGATCTGTTCTCTGAACACTCTGCCCAAATCCTTACCTGTTTTTGCTGATGTTCTGAATTCTAAAACCAGCCACAGACATTTCACACGATTATGGGTTAAACACTACATGTATCTGCACGCACATATAACACAATATAGTTTTTTATTGGTGCAACCACCTATTACTTCCAGTAAACACAAATTAGCAATTCTTTTCCACATTCTTTTAAACTTCTAGTCCGGATGCCTGTTACAGACTGCAAAGCCTATAATATATGTCATATGTACACGTATACAGATCCCCTTCCTCTGCACTCCAAAATTTATTTAAATTGGTAGTACGGGCAAATCTTAAAGAGTTTACTATTTATCAGCAACTTCTTTTGAGACTTGCATCTCCACAAGATGACTGCAATGCCACCATAGCTGCATACCACTATGAAACACGCATCTGCACCCCTGGGTTGCCCATGCAGCCGCGGAAGTCATTCTAAATTTAAGGGCCTGGTTATTAGCATGTGTGCTTCAGTTGCTTTGCGGAATGTGTGGGAAAACTGATTATTCTTAATTGCATTGTATGTCTAAAAAGCTAAAGCAACAATCATGTCATCCTTACGGAACAAAAATGGTATCATCATAAATGCAGCAGTGTCTTTTTTCATGAAGCTTAACTCAAATGTCTTCAGCTGCTATTTTAAGCTTCCCATTACAAAACAGCTGATTATTTGCCAGTCATTGCTGCTGATAAAGCAGAAACTTCCAAACGTTATTAACACAATATGGATGCCAACATTTAAGGGTGATAACAATGGTTTTATTCATCACCCATAAATGTACGCACACTCCAGGTTACCACAGGTTACTGTCTGGTCACAGAAAGCTTCACAATCTTATTATACAAAGAAAAGTAAGGGCAAAGTGCAGACAGATTTTAATGAGATTTTGTTTTGATAAAATGCTGTCCATCACATCGAATCATTTCACATGAGCGCAATAAAAGGCACTACACACACAAGGCAAAAGTCTTTTTTCCCTTTCTCTTTTTCTGAAGAATGAGGCCTTCTGATAAGATTCTTCAGAGCACAAGCACGATTTAACCTGCTACTCCCATGTGGTATCCTGAGCAACAGGACATCACTCGGTGAAGACAAGAAACAAAAGCCAGACAAAAAAGAAATTACACCACATCTTATTCATGGAAAAGGCAGAGACAGATTGCAAGCATCCAAAGGCGGAGCTTTTCAGTGTGGTGTAAAAAGCTTGGGGGTTTCTAAGGAGATAATCTGTAAATTCATATTGAATGATACATAGTACTTGACATCAACATATGCATGTTCAAAGCCAGATCTCAAGGACCAGCGTGCATGTATCAACACCTCACACTGCCTAATGGATGTTACAGGACCTCATTAAGACTCAGCACTTTTCCAAATTTGGTCCTAGAACACTGTGTATACCTGAGATACTCTGTGTACTGAAACATTTTAACCTCCCTAAGCACATGGAATATAAACTTATCCACCTTCAGAAATGTTCTAAGTGCTTTATAAGTATTCTCCAAAAATGCTAGATAGACCAGACAATAAAGATGCAGGCCAAACTTAACCCTAGCTTATTATCAGAGTGGACAAAGACTTGCTGAGACAATCTGATGCCAAACCAGCCAGTCTTTGTATTTCTCTAAGTCAACAGCCTTTCAAAATTTGCCAGCTTTGATGGTGTTAATGAAAGACTGTCAATCTCTTGCATTTATTGCCTGCTTTTTGAATTTTATGAATATATGCTCTATGGTAATCATCAATCATACATAAATATCTTTGCATATGTTTCAGTTTGCATGTCGATTCCACAAACAAAACTTTAAAATGTAAGGGACCAATTAAAAGACATGCCAATTCCAATGAAATGATCAAAAGTCCAGGTCAGTTTTCAGTATTTGAATCCAAAACACAGAAATCAAAACAACCAGAACATCTGCTGTTGCGTATGGTGATGCTTTACTCCCATCCATCAGGTATTTATACACATTCATAAGATCTCCTCAAGCCTCTTCTCCTCTCCTCCACGATAAACAGTCCCAGCTCTCTCAGCCTCTCCCCATACGAGAGATGCTCCAAGCACTTAATTATTTTCATGGCCTTTTGCTGGTCCTGCTCCAGTATGAGCACATCCTTGTCATACAAACCCCAGTTGTAGACCCATAACTGGATCCACTGATTATTCATCCTCACTGGTGCTGAGCAGAGGGGAACAATCACCTCCCTGGACCTGCTGGCAATGCTTCTCCTGATACAGACCAGGATGCCCTCTTTGTCACAGGGGCACACTGCTGGCTCATGTTGCTTTTTTGTTCCATTTCCGCAAAGCTGCCTTCCAGTCAGGCAGTCCCGAGTGTGTACTGATGCATGAGGTTATTCCCTACCATGGGCAGGACTTTGTGTTTCCCGTCGTTGAATTTCCTTAGGTTCCTGTTGGCCCACTTCTCCAGCCTGTCAAGGTCCCTCCAAACGGTAACACAACCACCTGGTGCATCAGCCACTCTTCCCAGATTTGTATATTCTGCAAATTTGCCAAGGGTGCACTCTGTCTATCATCCAGGTCGCTAATGACCATGTTAAACAGTCCCGGCCCAGAGTACCCCTGGGAATGCTGCTAGTGACTGGCCTCCATCTGGACTTCATGCCACTGATCACAACCCTTTGAGCATGACAGGTCAGTCAGTTTTCATTCCACCTCAAAAACCTAAATCTAAATCAGCACTGTTGAGGGAGGGAACAGTGAGGGCACTTTACGGTCCAGTCTCAAAAGCTGTTGGCAGATCAAATCCATCCAACACACACTGAAATACAGCCTCCAGCCATCACCATTAGTAGGCAGCTTCCCAGGGCCACAAGGATGGTCAAGGTCAAATGCAAAGGATGCAAGTGCCATCCAGGCAGCAACTAGATGTCATTTCTTCCGAGACTTCTCAGGAAGAAGAATTTGGAGGCCAAACAATACTTGAAGAGACCAACAAAACAAAGCATTGGGTTTTTGAAACTGGAGGATTATTCCATACTTAGGAGAGGTTAATAGCTTTAATTATCTGAACAAGCTACTGATTATTTTCATTACTAGTTACCGTATTGGCCCCTTTACTGATAACAGCAGCCAATGTTCAAAATATATGAAAGCTTCCAGGCCTTCCCTTGGAGGAAGATTTGCCCTACGTCAGTTATGGTAAAAGGGG